AATATTGTCATTGAATCCATTTTAATTTACGAATCAGAGTTTCGTCCTTAAGGTGTTCAAATAGTTTCGAAAAGGGGGAGGGGAGCAAGCGTCATCGCAAGGTGCTTCGTGACAATATCCAGGGAATAAGGAAGCCGGCCATTCTACATGTGGCTACACGTGGGGGGGGGGAGTCAAATGGATCAGTGGCCTGATCTATAAATAGGCCCATGGCGTTTCGAAGATGTTCCTCGCATACAAATGTTATTTAACATAATTCTGACGTTTCGCATCGAGCTTCAACTATTTACAGAACACGGTACGTAGCAGCAACGTACCCTGTAGATAGTCCAATCAGAAACGTCGAGATTATGTCAACTGAAATTTGCATGCTAAATAAACACTTTAAAGACCTCTACAATGACATACAAAATTCAGGTAGCGTCTGTATATGATATAGCTAAGAATATCTCAGGAATGTGACAAATCATAGGCGTCAATCTGACCCTTCGGCTTTGGAAACGGAAGCCACCATCAGGGTGACACTAGAACTTTCAACAATAGAATTACGGTAAACATGCGATATATATTTACAGAAAAGTTTCTAAACAGCGTGTGATATAACAAAACGGAAGAGACATGAAAACTTGTGAAAATATTAGTGTTAAAGAGAAAGATAATTAATCATGGACGGCTGAAATCACTTCAACGACTTCCAGATGTCCAAATAACTCCTATAATTATTGCATATCCTTCGCTAGTTAAGGGAGATAGCGTTCCTGATCCTATGGCAACGTTTGAGCTTCGGCAGCAAATAACTTTGGTCTGGAGCAAAGTCCTTAGAGACACTTCCCCCAGCTAATTTTTTATTGATCGCTTGAGCAAGTAGTGCCCATTTCAGTTTTCTTCCTGGAAGCCAAACGTGCTAAAATGCGACTCATCAATCTGGAGAATCAGTTGCTGTATACCAAGATTCTATCCGGATCATTTCGAAAAGTGGACTCAACGCTTCACCTGAGAAACCTCATTTTGGTTGATTATGCCCAATATCGAAACTTTTCAGCCATAAGCACGATTCCCTGTCCATAAGTGAGCACGGTTTGAATGGATTTGGACATAGAAAGCTTTATTTTCAGACTCAGCTTTTCCTTACTCACAAAGGTTCGAGTTAGATGACTCAGAAGGCTGCTGGCCATTCCAATTCACTGGTCGATCTGGTCTTTCTTCCATTTTCTCTTGCCAGTAAACACGACCCTGAAATACGTTAATTTCGTCACCTGCACCATTGCTTCTTTGTTTTTTGGCAGAGCGCAGCAGGCAGGAGAGAAAAACACTTGGTTTTGGAGTTTGACATGTCTACACGCACGCTGGCCACGCCGCACTCAATTGTGAACCATTTCACTATACCACCGATACACTCGCCGTCCTGGCCGATCCAGACTATCCTATAAAAATACAACATAACAATGAGAGAACAGAACGCGCCCTTGGAGGAAACGAGTACCGAGGTTGTAAGGTTTCGACTTACATGCACTTTCACTTACCTGCTCTCATCATATGGTGACTAGATGGCTCGAAGCAGCTCGCTGTCGATCCCATATGCTTGCTGGTGAAGGCTGCGGGATCCAGTTATATGCTACGTCGGCTACAACTAGACACATAAAGTCATTATTTGCAAACTATCATAACTTCTAAACAATTTGACGCAAGGCGAAGGTCTGGTCAGAGGTTTTTGGACCTAATCTGATGCTTCGCTGACCATATTGAGGCTCAGCATCGGTTGTTCCGGATACATCCTTTCTAACATCTTTGAATAGACCTTTAGTAAAGGGGGCTTAGCAAAGTACTGCGTCGATCATTGAATCAGTGCCTATGGTCTCCCGTCTTTTTAAATGGGTACTACCACGTTTAAAGGACACGGGCGGACTTCATCGATTCAAACAGCCTTGCTACTTTTCAAGCCTGCTACAGCATCTATGACTTTGTCTACTGAAAGAGTAATACTCAATGGCTACTGCTCTTAAGGCGGCCGCTCATGGATAACGTTTTCTTAAAAGTACCCTCAAGACATTCGAAGTATTTTCTCTTTCTTTTGAGAAGACGCTCGAACTTGTGTTTCCCCACTCTGAGACTGCCCGTCACTTCATCTCGAGTTATCTCTAGGATGGTCTATCAGAATACTTTTTGATGCCATCTCGAAAATCGAGTTCAGCACTGTACTGAAATGTTTTCGAGGATCAAGTTGGCTTTGACCAACGCTTTCCCTGCCGTACCCTCGCGTTTTATCACGTTTGAGTTGATGGCTCTTTGCTTCCAAACAATTTGTTGAATGCAGCCCTTTTTTTGCTGACAGCCAGTTGAACCTCTCGCGTTTACCAAGAAGTTCGTTTCTGACCATCAGGCATCAAAACAATCCGTCTTTAACAGCAGCTCAGAGTCTACTTTACTTCTCAGTGTCTAGTCTGATATGCGCACTGAAATCGCCGGCTAGAACGGTGGATTCCGAAGTCTTTACTTCGCACAGGGCACCAGGGCACTCTCTTCTTCCTCCAGGAATGACTCATATTCTTCCTGGAATGACATTGGACGCATAGACCTGTAACTAAGACTGGAACCCTGTCTAGTCTGACTAACTTTTTAAGTTCAGAGCTTTAGCCTGTTGTAACTTCAGTCGCATGATTTGCATTCTTCCGCTGATAGGCTTTCACTGAATGGTACATTTGACCAAGATTAGTTCCACCAGAACAGCAACAGCGTCCTGAGCGTCTGGCGTGAAATCGATACCTGA